AGAGAGAGAGAGAGAGAGAGAGAGAGAGAGAGAGAGAGAGAGAGAGAACTGAAGCCTTGTCCTACCTTTCAGGATCCACGTACTGCTTACGTGTAAAGGATGAGTTCCTTACTCATACATACATAAACTCAGGTGTTTATGTATAACACTTTTGTGTGTGATGCTAGGAATCAAACCCAGGGCCTCTTGCATGCTAGGCAGGTTCCCCACCACTGAGCTACAACTCCAGCCCCCACCTCATACTCTGGTTCACAGCGTTGAGTGTATTTTAGTACTTTCGATGCTGTCTTAAAAATGAAGATTCTTGGGTAGAAAGGTGGCCTTTCTTACTTCTAAGCATTTTAAACTTTAAGCCCATTGTAACTCACCCAGACCTTGATATAAGATGACCAACTTTCCACTGAGGGCAAAAATAAAAATAAAGGGACCATTTTAATAGGCTGAGGTTAAGGGATGGGTGTGAAGGAATATTAACGCAGTTAGTTCTGAGAGGAGCGCAGTTGTCTGTGTGATAGTGGTCTTCTATGTGTTCCTGTTTGGGAGTCTTGTTTGCTGTGAATCTAGTGGGGAAGTGTCACCCTTTTTTAACTACACATTCCAGTTGTACCCATAAGACATCTTCAAAGCCTGTATTATAACAACTTTTGTGACATATATTTAAAAATAATTATTGTAGAGTGAATTTATCACTCCAGATCAGGGAGACCTAAGTTCATTTCAAATGAAGTTAACAATTTATTTTATTTACATTTCTAAGGAAAAACTGGGTCTGTGGTTTAAGAAATAGAGTAACTTCTGGGTGGTAAAGATGCCTTCCTGAAAAGTAATCATTTGGTTTGAAGTCACTTTATTTATTATGTAGATCCTGCACTTTCCTCTTGGGATCTCATTCATAGACTATCTTTGAAGATTTGGGCATGAAAAGAACCTGGGAAAGTTATCTCAAAAAAATGTGTGGAAACTGAAAATGGACTCTGTATCTTTGCCAACAAAAAGGTAACAATAATTTCAACATGAAATGTTGACGCCAGTCACAAAATGCAAGACTCCGATCCCCAAAGTCCTGTGGTGTAATAACTTGTAACCGTCTTGGGTTTTCCAAAAGTCCTGTAGTGTTGTAACTATCCCAGGGTCTCATCCAGAGAAACTTGGAAAGTACAGAGCACTAGACCATCTCAAAGGTACAGTTTGAGTTTTTGTAACTTAAATTTGTCCTGCTGGAGCTGGGCATGGGAGTGAGTGCACATCTTTAATCCAGCACTTGGGAGGCTGAGGTAGGCCTATCTTTGAGTTGGAGGCCACTCCTACAAAGAATTCAAGGACAGCCAGGGCTACACACAGAGAACCCCTGACTTGAAAAAACTACACAAGTAAATAAATAAATTTGACCTGTTGGATTCTCTTTAATGTGAGCCAGCAAGATGTCTCCCTTCTTCTCAGGAATAACCCAGTGATTAAAATAAAGCCAATCACTGAAGGAATGTTGGTTTTATGCCAGTTATTTTTAACTTTTAAAATACACAGAGGAAAATACTGTTGAAGGACCTCTTCATCTCTTTCTCCTTTTTTGGTTCTTATATGGAATAAGTAAGTTCCAGAACATACACCATCACTGTTCTAAGATCAGGTATTTTATGAATTTATCCCGAGGTGACAAAAGAGATGGCAGAGTATAATCCCTCTGACAGCCCAATCTGGGAAACATGTGGCCAAGGTTTCCATGGTGATCTCTCCCTCCCAGACACATTGACACTGTAGACTGCATTCATTACAGTGGGAATATTTTTAAGTGGGTTGGATGTAGATTGTTTTTACATTTTTATTGTTTAGTTTGTGCCCAGAAAAATGGCTATTTCATCATGTAACATTCCTATTTTTCTGGAAAGACTTTTCTGTTTTGATGTTCTTGAATTATTTTCTGACCTGGAATTATCCTTCAAAAAAAAAATTCTTAAAATATCTAGAACTAAAAAGCACCTAATGAGAAGCTGAAGCTGGCCCATTGGTTGGAAGTATTGATTCTATCTTGTTATTTAAATGTGAACATTTATTGTATATTCAGTGAGTTATAGTGTTAATAGTCTTGTGCTACCCAGCAGGTGTAAAAAATTAATAAATATTTTTTTAATAACCATGTCTCTTGCTCATGTGTACATGGGAACCACTGATACAGTTAAATATTCTCTTTTAAATATGGCACAAGCCATCCTGGTCTGCATGGTGAGTTCTAGGTTAGTCTAAGCTACAGGGTGGAGCCCTGTGTCAAAACACTCCCCTCTTCAAAATAGTGCACTTTGCTTTCTGATTCCTAATCTGGCACTTAAAAACCTTGGCGATTTTCTCCCCATCTTCCTTCTAACATGTACAAAGCCAAACAAACTGAACACTCAGCAACGTAAATCCATTGAGTATTAAGGTAATGGGACGACAAGCTGCTTCTCTCACAATTGGAACAGGCATGAAGATCACAACCTCAAGAATAGAAACCTCCAAGGGAACCAGTGCCAGCCAAGATAGGAAATCCTGAACTGTAATAGAATTGTTGGAGGCTCAGTATGGAGAAATCTGAGGACTGAAAACTTCGAGGGAGGGCTGGAGGGCTCAGCAGTTAATAGGATGCATAGCTCCTGCGGAGGACCTCAACTCTGTTCCCAGTACCCTCCTCATTGGGTGACTCAGCCACTCCTTACTGGAGTTCAGGGATCTGACGCCTCTGACCTTCTCAGGCACCTGTTCTCATGTGCACACATATACAATTTCAAAAACCCCAGGGAATCCAGTCATTGGGGAAAGGAAAGGTCATACGTTTGTATGGGATTGATCAGGTTCTCTGAGAAAGATTCCCGGTGCTCCAGCAGAGGGAGAGGACAAGAAAGCATTGTGAAAGATAGCAGAGCACCTTACTTCCTAACTAGATCAGGAGAAGCTAAGTTAACCAAAGCCTAACCTACAGAGTTTCTCAGAGCCTTGCTGACCTGGGGGAACAGAATGCTCAAATCCAGCCACCTGTAGCCATCCATTGTCATATGAAGATGATGGCTGAGAAGCATTTGAGAAGGTCACTGTTGAGAGAAATCCAGACCAAATGATAGGGCCCTCGAGTACTTCCACTCCCCTCCAACTTACCCCTTTACTAAAGGCCTGTCTCTAGAAAATGTTAACCAGTGCTCTGTGTTCAGCTATAAGACGAAATGTGATAGAACTCAAGGGAAGTTGTCTAGTGAAGGGACTCTGGCCAGCAAGGGAGAATGGAGCATGGCTCTGGCAGGCCTTGCCCTTCTCCCCAATTTCCTCTGCCTTGCTAAAAACCATTAGATTACATGCTAGAGCTAAGCACCAAGGTCTAGCCCCTTATTTGGCCACTTCCTCCTCCTGAGGCTGACTAGCAAGATCAAGCTATCAAGTCCAGCAATCAAAAGCCCCCTCCTTTGGCTCACCTGATTAACATGCCCGATTAAAATTAAACACCTCATCCAAACATGGGATTTCCCCTTTTATCTTTATAAGCTACCATTTTCATATGGGCTATGTCTGTGTCCTTTATCCAGAGGCAGTCCTTTGTCTCCCTTTGGGGCAAATATTCCTCTCCCTTGTTCCCTTCCCTTTTTCCCTCATCCCCTATCTCCTGTCTTTGTGTCTTATTCCTAACCTTATATTCCTCTGAGGCAAATAATCTCCTTTGTGTTGAGAACTTGGTCTTGGGGGTCCTGAGCTGATCCTGATCCTTAGTATGTAGGTGTCCCCATTGTGTGCAGTGTAAAATAAAACAATAATTACAGGGCAAAAAACCAAACCAAAACAACCAACGAACTAGAAAACAAAAACAAAAGCCCCACAGCTTAAAGGTGTTTACCATAAGACAGAATTCAAGACGGTGAAAGCAAGAAATAGAGAGGCAGACCCAGGGGAAAAGAATGTTTTTGGATGATGTATCTGATAAAGGACTGCTAGCCAAAGTATGCAAAGAACATAACTTCAACAAGAAGAGAAAGAAACAGTCCTAGTGGAAAAAGAGGCCCAAAGACATCTTCGCAAAGAATATGCACAAACAAATGAACGTGTGAAAACATGTTCCACATCTGTTACCACCAGGGAAGTTCAAATTAATGTTAAAACAACAAAAGGTTTCAGGGTGTGGCAGAGTGCCTGCATTCCGTTCCAACTACCAAAACCAAACCATATTACTTATTATCTAGTTAGAATAAAAGATTCAATCTCTGCCAAGTGCGGTGGCATTCATGATAATGCCAGTACTTGGAGGTCTAAGGCAGGAATGTGGCGAGTTTGATGGTCAAATAAATGATGGAGACACTTAACAGATCAGTGGTTGTGGGAAGGAGGGAGGGGAATTGGAAGGATGAGTAGGTGGAGTAGGGGTGGACCATGAAATAATATCACATAGATCCATCAGTTATTTAAAATATGTACCACTCATGTGGGTGAAGAGTGTGTATTGGGAAGAATTTGAGGTAAACCTGTGGTTTGTTAAATTTTGCTATGACCCTAAAACTGCTCTAAAAACAAGGGCTAATAATGAAAATGGCAATTTGTAATGTTTTGAAGCTGTCCTGTCTGGTCATCCTGAATGATGCTGCACTGTCATTTCTAACTGGTAGCTTCTAACTCCAACAGGATGTACGGACATCTGTAGAGCCAGTGGGGAGGGGTGTGTGTGTGTGTGTGTGTGTGCAAAGATTTGGCTTTATTTGTAAAGCATGATTTTTCCATTGGGGGAAGGCCATGCTTTGCATGTCCTGCTCCTCTGACATGTTTATTAAACTGAAGGAACTGTGGATGATCTACCCAGGATCATGGGGAAACTGTAGAATGCTTGGGAAGACATTCTTTTTTTGTTGTTGTTTTTTTTGAGACAGGGTTTCTCTGTGTAGTTCTGGCTATTCTGGAACTCACTCTGTAGACCAGGCTGGCCTCGAACTCAGAAATCCGCCTGCCTCTGCCTCCCAAGTGCTGGGATTAAAGGCGTGCGCCACCACCGTCCGGCATTTGGGAAGACATTCTAAATAAGATGGTCTTAGAGAAAAGCATGCGCAATGAGGAGTCAGAAGAGTAAGATTTCAATGTTTCCACTTTTCTGGAAGTTGTGTGGACTTGGAGACATGGGCTGTGTTATACTTGGCCAACCTTCAAGACTGCAAGAGTTTCTTCACTGTCTGTGGCCTCAGCAAAGCCTCCATGAGAGAGTGGTGGTGCCTAACAGTTTTCTTCTGCGGGAAGCTCTTTAAACAGGAAGGTAAGCAACTCAAAAGAGCTTTCAGGAAGTCCCCAAAACTGACCAGATTCTCTAGGCACCTCTGCCAGGATAAACAATAAAAGCTGAGAGACCCCCTCAGATGGAAGCCAAGCTGAAAAGAGGATTCTGAGAGGATAAAAGCTAAAGTCGACTCTGAGGCCATACCAGCTATCTAGAGGCAGCAGAAACCAGCTGAGTTGCCTGGAAGAGGTTTAAACCAACTGAGGCACCTGGAACGTACCCACTGCAACCTATTGAGCTGCTTGTAGGCTGTACAGTGTATTCCAGGTTCCCAGCTTTTGTGAGCTATCACCCATGTTGGGGTGAGCCTTGGTTTTGCAGCTAAGTCATTTCTGTTCTTGTTAAGTAAACCCTCACCCATACTCCTGTAAGTTATCCCAAGAGTAGTTTACCAAGTTGGACTATGGTGGTATCCGTATTTTGGTTTGTTGTCGGATCCTATGGTGAGTATTGTGTTGAGTCTCCATAGGAAAAACTTTGTCACACAAGAAGTGGTTGTTAGCACAGCGTTTGATCAGACTGTGCTCTTGCTTCGCAGCTGACAAAAAGCGACATCGCTTTGTCCTCCAAAGCTCTTGAACCAGGAGAGCCCGCACAGAATGGAACTCGCCTGCTATGCAGCGAAGTAGAAGGTGGTACCAAACACCGCGGGGCTGTTCAGGTGCTGCCACAGGCTCCGCCCCTATCCATCCCGCCCAATACGCCCCGCCCCGCCGTTAGGTTTCGCCCCACAGGTCCCGCCCCTTCCGCTCCCGGAGCCCGGAACGTGCGCGCACCCAGACGCCTTGCGGGAGCGAGCGCGTCCGGGAGCCCACGGCCGGACGATCCCGGGTTAAGACCCGTGGACTCGGCTGAGGTGAGGGAGGGCCCAGGCGTCGGGTTTGGTGGGTACCAGGGGAAGGGAAGAAGCGGGGAGAAGGGGAGAAGCGGGGCTTCGAGATCTCCCTCGCCGTGGGCACGCGGCGGGCCCCACGCGTGGCGTGCGGCAGCCGGGTGGGCGAGGGTTAGGGTGAGGACGTGTGGGGGAGGGGCGGGGCCGCGGCGCGCTGCACGCAGGTTGGGCTGGCGGCTTGGGGTACGAGATCCTTGCTTGCTGGTTGCTTGGGAGGGTCTGGAGGGTGGGCTAGCCCAGGTGCAGAGAAGAGGCCTTCCTGGTCTAGAGAGGAAGTCTCCGACACCCCAACACTTAGAAATCTGCAGCTTCCTGGGTTCCGGCTCTCTAGTAGCGCCCATGTTTTGTATTTTGAGTTCTTGTGCAGAATAAGTGGCAAGGCGGAGGTTGTCACTAGATATTACGTTTAGCTTAACCAACCGTCGGCATTGGAAGAAGCTTCCGAGCGAGTTGTGTACATTGTGCACCTGTCAGATGAGGTAACTGACTTTGCACGCTGTCTATGCCACTTACAGTAAGAGGATTTTATTCTTAAGCATCAGGTTGCTTCTGTGTTTTTCTTTTCTTTTTTCTTTTTTTTTTTGAAGTTTTGTTAAGTGCCGGTGTCTTGCTCCTTTCTCACTTTAACTCAGTTATTTAGGCACCACATGCATTCGGGATATCATCTCTCAGTGTGCTGAAGATGTGAGCGCAATTACCTGGGTACCACACAGTTGTGTCCGTTTAACACCCGCTATATCTTTTCCTTGATCTGAAATACTGTTAGAGCTTGAAGTCATTTTGCAGAAAAGAGTTTCGATCTAGGTATATTACAGGCCTGCTCTTTATCATTTGAGAACTTGGGAAGTGGGAATTGTTATGTAAACTCATTTAGCTGGAGATTATTCCTTGTAAGACCCTAAGAAGAGAAATTATGGTGGGGAGACCCTGGTCCAACTCCTCCTTTACTACAGGTAAGGAGCCTGACAACCTGGTGAGGTAAGATGTCACAGATAAGTGACTGCCCAAGGGTAGAAATCTGGTTGATCTTCCCACTTTTGTGGGCTTGTTGGTGTGTTTGTCAGTAATAGTAATAAGATTCCAGTACATGTAGAGCAGTTGTTCTCAAACTGCGTCGTGACCCTTCTGAAGTGAGGGTGGAATGACCTTTTCAGGTTGGTCATCTAAGACCATTGGGAAACACAGATACTTACATTACGGTTTACAAAAGCAAAATTGCAGTTATGAAGTAGCAACAGAAGCGGTTTCAAGGTTGGGGGAGTGGGTCACTACAACGTGAGGAACTGTGTTAAAGGGTGGCAGCATTAGGAAGGCTGACTACCACTGTGCGTTAGCACTGTCCAGAACAGTGGACTCAGCTTCATACCTGATTCCAGCTTTGGGGGATATTCTCTAAGTACAGTCTTATATTTAGCTTTCTAAAAAGAATGGCCAGCCCTGTTCAGTTATTACAGGAAAGAGGAAACTTGGATTAATTTATATGGATCTGAAGGTCGGATTGGCCATTGACAACTAATATCAGTCTGGTGATTGGAGCCCTAGGAATTTATGTGATGAATAAAGTCATATCAAGTGTTTACAATTTAAATTGAGAGTATATGCAAGTTGTATTGTATATGATGCTAACATCTGCAGGCAGGCCAACCTAGAGTTGGGTAAGTTATTTCCAAACTTTGATCTTTAGTTAGTATCTGTATAATAGGCATAATAAGCACAGCTCTAAGAATCACGTGAAAACTGGGATACAAAATGAAACCCTACCCACTGCTTTAAAAAACAAGACTTGAGCCGGGCAGTGGTGGTGCACGCCTTTAATCCCAGCACTTGGGAGGCAGAGGCAGGCCGATTTCTGAGTTCGAAGCCAGCCTGGTCTACAGAGTGAGTTCCAGGACAGCCCGGGCTATACAGAGAAACCCTGTTTTGAAAAAAAAAAAGACTTGAGAGATAATTTATATGTTAGTATCTGAGTTTTACTAATGTTTGTTGAATTCATGGCTTTTTAAAAACAATCTTATATTAAAAATTCCATTAGCACATGTCTGTATGTGTGCAAATGTCCATAGCATTCCTGTGGAGGTTATTTCCTATGGTGGGGTTTAGGGATCGATCAAACTCAGGTCATTAGGTTTGTGTGGCACGCACTTTTACGAACTAAGGTATCTTGCCAATCCTGCCTGTGGATATGTAACTGTTCACATAGATTATTGACCTTGGAGTTGTGGACCATGGTCTGTCACTTACTATTTTTTGAGACATGAGACAAGGCCTCATGTCATACCCCAGGCTGGCCTTGTGAACTTGTGATTATCCTGCCTTACCCTCCCAAGTACTGGGATCATGCACTTGATTGACCATGCCTGGTTACCACTCAGTTCCTGGGTCTTACTCTTCTATAAAGTGAAAGTGTAGAAAACTTAAGAATGCATTTTGAGAAGTCTTACTAGGTTAGGTAGGACTTGAAAATTTGATGGCAATGGAGCGTTGAAAGGGTGGAAGGATACCTGTGTGGTTAAAGAAAAGGACATGCTGTAAAAGGAGATTGGAACCAGGCATGGTTAATTACTCTGTAATCTACTGTAGGAATGCTGAGACAGGGTTGTCGCATGTTTGAGGCCAGCCTAGGCTGAGTAGTGAATTCTAGGCCATTTTGGGATACAGAACAAGACCCTGCACCCTGCTTTTAAAAAACAAAAGACTTGAGATTAAATATTAGCATCCGCCTGATCTCTGGTTTTCTGTCTCAGGGTATATTTTTATGTAGTATACCTGTGGAGAAGAAACAATGGATTCCTTGGATCACATGCTGACAGACCCCCTAGAACTTGGTCCTTGTGGAGATGGTCACAGTACAGGGATCATGGAGGACTGCCTTCTGGGTGGTACCAGGGTTAGTCTGCCTGAAGACCTTCTGGAGGATGTGAGTAGTCACATTGTTGCAAGCATTTCCTTCCCCATCTTCCGACCCCCTTTCCTCTGCCCTCTGCCTTCCTTGCTCCCTTTTATTTTTCACATTTCAGCATCATTCCCTTATTATGTTTAAAAGTATAATGTAGTTAATATTCTGATCAAGTAAGACAGGATACGATATAGTTTACATATTTGTTTGGTCAGCCATTCAGAATAATACTAGCATGATATAAGTAAACCATATTATAACAAGATAATTTTCACCAATTAAAAAAAAGAAGGTTGAATATTTTAAGAGCAGAATTGTGTTTCCCTTAAATGATTTTTCCTGTTGTGAAACATGAAACAAACCCAGATTTGTCTGTGTTCACATGGTAACCTTCTAGTTGGGAGTAGTATGTGTCTTGGGACAGAACATGATTATTACTTTTACAGGTAAGATGTCAAGCCATCATTAGTAAGGAAGCTACTATCTAGTAAGAGGGGGCCTGTATGTGCTCGCTCTCACTCCTCCTCTCCCCCCTCCCCCTTCCTTCTCTCTGCCATAGGGTCTCATAGCCTAGGTTGGCTTTGAATGTACCATGTAGCTGAAGATAGCCTTGAATTTCTGATCCTTCTCCCTCTATTTCTCAAGCACTGGGCTTATAGATATATACCACTATGCTTTGTTTACGTGGTCCTGGGAATTGAACCCATGACTTTGTGCAAAGTAGAGTAGATATCCCGTCGACTCAGCTACATACCCAGCCCAGATACAATCGTTCTGCCAACTGAACTTCATATCCAGCCCTCATTTGTATCTTCTCTGTGTACTCTTTCAAGGAAGTTTCTTCATGAGATCTGTTCTATTATCAGGTGCTTATTTTATTATGTACCTAGTTCATGCCAGATACGTTAGATACTAACACTAAAATTGAATGAAAAAACAAGATTTTAGGAAAAGATATTGATTCAAAAGTGATTGGGATACATTCATGAAAGGTTATTTTGTGGTTGAGTTATCATGTAGCTTCCTGTTTAAATTTCCATGGTTCTGTTATATTGTTGGGGTAAAGTCATAATTACCTAACAGGTTTACACGTCCTCCTTTCTACTGCTACACCTTCCCTTTCCTTGATCAAATAAAACATTTTCTGAAGTAGCTAATTAAAACAAGTCACAGATAAGAGTAAAGTAAATACCTGTGTATTGGCACATTTATATACATGTATGTCTTTTAAGCAATGATGAAGCATTCATGTCTAGGTGTGAATGGTGTTCAGTATGCTTACCTACTCTGGAGGCTGAGGCAGGAAGATGGCTTCAGCTCACTAGTTCAAGACCATCTTAAAAACAAAACAACGCCATAAAACAATAGGTTTCTCTTCCCCCAAAACTGTAGATAACCACCTAGGGTAGTATAGAATAATGCCATTTAAGTCCCTAGGTGTCCTCATCTGTCTTACCTTCAGTTCCCCCATGGTAATCACTCTTACTTGCCATTAGTTCTTTTGCTTCTATGATTTTGTTTAACTCTTCCAGCATGTTCCCCTTTCTGATCCATTTAACTATCCTAACATTATGTTTTTTGAGCTGTGTATTTCTGTGTACTTTAACAGTTCTTAAACTACTTTGTAATTGTACGCTAAGCTTATTATTCACCACATAGACATCCAATATGTAGCTACTGAATTAAAAATGAAGTCTGTAAAGGACTTGGTGCACGTATGCCTTTAATCCCAGCACTTGGGAGGCAGAGGCAGGTTGGTCTCTGCGAGTTCAAAGCCGTCTGGTCTACAGAGTGAGTTCCAGACAGCCAAAGCTACAATCTCAAAATAAACTATGTATTAATTAAAAAACTAAAGTTCATCCTGCCTTCTTTCATTTTTTTAGTCCTTTCTTAGACACCCACTCCACCTCAGTTACTTTTTTCCTGCTTCTTACTTTAAGTTGAATTCACATGGCAGCCATTGTACCCTGGTTGGCAGTGATGGCTTCTTTACAGCTTTTCTCTTGAGATAATTTCCCCTGGATTATCATGAACTGCTACATTGTAATTTTTGTACTATCTTTAATAAGCTCTTATTTGCCAAGCATCCCAGGCTGGACTTGAACTCACAGTCTTCCTGCTTCTCCCTCCTAAATGCAGGGAATACAGATGGGTACAACCGTAGCCAGTTAATCTCTGAGTTTTGAGAATTGAGTCAAAATCATTAGCATTTTAGTCTGTTTAAAAAACTTCAGGGTCATAGTGATGGCTGCATAAGAAATGTGAATATACTTAAAACTCCTGAACTGTATACCTAATAGTGATAAGATGGTAAAGTTTATGTTCTGTGAAATAGACTGCATTGACACACAAAATGTTAAATATTTACTTTATTATCTTTTTTTTTTTTTTTTCAAATTCTCCCAGCCTGAGATATTCTTTGATGTCGTCAGCCTCTCCACGTGGCAGGAAGTACTAAGTGACTCTCAGCGCGAACATCTCCAGCAGTTTCTGCCTCAGTTTCCTACAGACTGTGTAGAGCAGCAGAGTGAGCTCATCCTTGCCCTGTTCAGCGGGGAGAACTTCCGCTTCGGAAACCCTCTGCACATTGCCCAGAAGCTCTTCCGAGGTCTGTAGCTCAGTATTTCGTTTGTTAGGGTTGAGCGCATGTTCACTTAATGTACACATGCTTTTATAAGTCTTCATTTTCATGGACTGATGTGGTATCTGAGGACAGTGGTTTTCTGTATTTGCAGCCTATGCTATTTTTAAAGAATAAGAGTCTATTGATTCATGATAGGAAGTACATAATAGAACTCAGCTGTGTAACCATCATAAGAAATAAAGCATTGCCAGCACCCAAAAGATCGTTATGACTAGGTTTTAAACTTAAAGAAGAGAGAAAGGGAGACGGATACTAGCTTGTTCGCTTTTTTTTTTCCTGCAGAGAAGCGTGACATCTCACAACTGTGCATCTTTCTCTTTTAAAGATGGGTCTCACTGTGCAGCCTGGGCTGGCCTTGAGTTTATGATAGTCCTCTTGCTTTAGCTTGCCTGGGATTCTACACACAAGCCATCACTTCTGTCTTAGCATGTAGATCTTTTCACAAAGGAAATCTCCCATATAATCCAGCCCTGTTAGTTGTCTGTAAAAGAATTTACACTGAGCAAGTAATACAGAATACTCCTTGAATTTGTTTTCTTTCTTTTTTCATTTTAAAAAAAGATTTATTTATTTACTTAGTATAAGACTGTTGCTGTCTTCAGAAACATCAGAAGAGGGCATTAGATCCCATTACAGATGCTTGTGAGCCACCATGTGGTTGCTGGGAATTGAACTCAGGACCTCTGGAAGAGCAGCCAGTGTTCTTAACCACTGAGCCATCTCTGTAGCCCCCACATTTATTTTCTTAACTGCTCCTGAAATATCTTTGTAAGTTGCTGTTTAAATCCATAACATACTCAGGGAACATGCAGTGTTCTTTGATTTGTATCTATTTGTATATATTAGTTCTATGTATAGAGGATTTTGTTTGTTTCTTTTTTGGACATTGGCAGGTTTTGTTTTGTTTGAACATCTGATTTTTGTTGTACACTTCTACTTTCTGGGAATGTGTTGTCTTATTGCTTCCATATTAGATTTGTGTCAAGTTCTTTTGGTAACAATGTTATGTGGGAAGTCACCTTCCTTCCCACTGTACCATCTCAAGAGGCACAAGGTACCAGTTTCCTATCATTGGGAATGGTGGCCACCTGTGTTCACTTGGTAAAGTTTCAACCATGCTGGCCTTAAAATCACAGTGATCCACCCACCTGTCTCCTTGTGCTGGTGGTAAGGGCATGGACCACAGTGCCTTGTTACAATTCTTAGTCATTTGTTGGGTGGTGCTTTGGGATCAAGACTTGTTTCTCAGAAGCTTTCATTCACCTAGGGTTCCCCCTCCATCAGTGATCTTTGCCTGAATCAGCTATTACTTCAGACATTGCAAGCAATTGGAGGTCACTCTTAGATCACAGTTTGTTCGCTGACCTGTGGAGAAGAACAGAGGCCTCTTCCTCCCTTGCTCTTGGGTGTCTTTGTTTTGGCAGATTGGTCCGAAGGGTCAGCCTTAGCTCCTTTGTCTTATTAAACTGGAATATTTGATTGTGGCTAAAGACTGAGGAGAACAAATCTCTTGTTATTCTGAGGATTTTAAATTAGTATTTGAAGGCTCACGTATGTACATGCTAGGCGAGTATTCTACCACTGAGTTGCAGCCCCAACCCCCTTCACTTTTGTAAGAAACAGTCCTCACTTGGTTGTCCAGGGTGGCTCTAAACTGGTCTTATAATCTTGCCTGACCTTCCAAATAGCTGAGGTGTCAGGCAACACTACCATATACAGCTGCTTTTCTTCCTTTGATGGGTTATTAGTTTAAATACAAGGTCACCTTTGGTGTTAGCAATCTGTTTGATTATGGCCCAGGACTCTGGTAGCAATACACTGTCTTCTCTCAGGCAAAACAGAGTAGGGACCCTGGAGGATTTCAAAGGTTACATATGGGTCCTTATAGAAATGGGTAGTGCTGCTGTGCCCCCCTCGCACAGGGTTACTGTGTGGTGAGTATACGAACAAGATACAGAGGTGGAGCTGAAGATTCTTGTGTATTTCTCTGATTTGATGTTGTATTTCAGTTCTAGTTTTGCTGAAGATAATTGTGTTACTGTGGTTACTATGAGTGACCTTAATTGAGTTGTTTTTTGTTTTTATTTATTTATTTTTACTGTTCTTTTATTTTGGGGTCTCTGTCTTTCTTGAGTCTTATCTTTGGGTGTCTTTCTTAAATAGTCACGTTTTCTTTCTGTGCTGCAACCACATCGTTTATATACTCTTTACATATGTGTGGACTGATGCATATACAGTTGTACCTCTATGTTTTTAAGATGGACACTTTAACCCTGAGGTGGTCAAGTATCGTCAGCTCTGCTTCAAGTCCCAGTACAAGCGGTATCTCAACTCCCAACAGCAGTATTTCCACCGGCTGCTAAAACAGATTCTTGCTTCCAGGAGTGTAAGTAATGCTCGGAGCTAGGTATACAGCACAGCATGGTATACAGAGTGGCCAGTGACCTGGCAAGCATCATGGCATCACGTGGTTCTGATACAAAGACTGAAAGAACCACTAACAAAAGTTGGGCTTTGTCTGTCCACTTATGAGGTTTTTAGATTTCAGAGATGTTAGACCATGAAAAACAAAGCGCTTCCTAGAATCAGTATTTACAAAGCGAAGCAAAGGGTTTCAGATTCATCATGGGTTTTGAGTATATCTAGGATGCTTTGGAATTGATACGAAGTACATACTGACATGATTCTCTCACATATCTACAGAGCATAGAATTTGGTGGCCTCAGGCTCCTTTCCAGTTTGATAATTCTCTGGGGCAGAAGTTACTAGGAGTTCTTAATTTTATTATATTTTTATTTGTTTCCTTTGTGTGCAAGTGAGTGCTTATGTGTAGGTGTGCACGTGCCGCAGGCAGAGCGCTTGTGACGCAGAGAAGACAACGTACTAGAGTCTGTTTTCCAGGCTTGGTGGCAGGTGTCTTCTGAGCCATCTCACTGGCCTTCTAATGAGTTCTTAAAGTTGTTCTTTGAGACTTTGTATACAAACACCTAGATGTTGAGTATAAGTATTAATTCTGAGTGAAGCAGGACAGTACTAACATGGGGTGTTTTTTACCATGTAACTCAGCTGAGTGTTTCTTACTTGAAATGCTTACAACCATAAGTGTTTTAAGTTTCAGAATTTTTTTCAGGTTTTTGGAATACTTGTGTATTTTGGGGGATAAGACACAGTTGTAAACAAAATTAGGTGGGTTTTTTTGTTTTTTTTTTTGTTTTTTTTGTTTTTTTTTTTTTTGGTTTTTTGAGACAGGGTTTTTATGTATATCCCCGGCTGTCCTGGAACTCACTCGGTAGACCAGGCTGGCCTCGAACTCAGAAATCCGCCTGCCTCTGCCTCCCAAGTGCTGGGATTAAAGGCGTGCGCCACCACTGCCCGGCCAAAATTAGGTTTAATATGCAACTCACGGAGCCTGAATTTCAGTGTTCATTTATTGTGTTTGGGCTTTGGTCTGTGACACACGATACAGTGCAGCATTTTTCACTTATGATGTTGTGTTGGTACTCAAGAAATTTCAGAGTTTGTTTGGTTTTTTGTATCATGAATGATCAAACTTTAGGTACTTTTTATTGTATATAGTCATGTATCTGTATATTTCTATGTCATTTGGACGGGGGAGAATTGGGCTTTTTTAACATTGAAGGGAGTAAAACATGGACTTACAGACTCTCCAGAGAACAAGATTTGAGGATGACTTGGCACCTCATTTGGTCTCCATAGGATCTCTTGGAGATGGCTCGTAGGAGTGGCCCGGCTCTTCCCTTTCGACACAAGCACCGTTCACCATCCCGAAGCCCTGAGGAACGGGAATGGCGGACCCAGCAGCGTTACTTGAAAGTCTTGAGGGAAGTGAAGGAGGAGTGTGGGGACACTGCCCTGTCCTCTGATGAGGAGGGTGAGTGTTCTTGGGTACTTCTGGGAGTCTAAGGTTTTGGAGCCAGTGGTAGCCATGGTATTTATTTCCCAGTAAAGGGGCCTCTGTCGTGTTTGGTGGGTTGGAGAATGGGGCTCACTAGCTCTTGGTGGGTGGATTGTTGAGGCACTGTTTACGAGTGACTCCATGCCCTTTTTGTTCTTGTGCTATGTGGCACTGAGGTTAGACAGAACATCTAGGGCAG